CCCCCCCCCGCACACCATATCAGGGCGTCAGGCTGGATGAGAGCCCCGCAACGGAGCCCGCTCCTGGCCCCTTCCGGCCCCTCCTGGCCCCTCCCTGCTTCCCACCCAGGCACCCGCCTCTGACCCCTGCTCCTGGCTGGGCTCCAGGTTCCTGGGCATAGGCTCCTTGGAGGGCAGGAATTTGTCCTTTCACTGGAACTTAAATCTGCTTAAAATGTTTAATAAAGTGGAACAGAAGCCCCTTGCTGCATAGGGAACCTGGTCCTCCTCCCAAACTCTTCTCAGTGGGATGAATTAAATGTGGGGTTCTAACGCCTCTCATGCAGGAATGGACCTCAGAGAAGCACTACCTGCTGTGTGACCAGTTTCCCGAGAGGGCCACAGCCACGGATTCGATCGGACTTTCTTCTGAGCCAGGATTTGTTTGGGTCTGGAGGGCAAACAGTTGCTGTGTTGGGCCACTGGGCTTAGGTCACCTGCAGACCCCACAAGCTCTGTCCCTGGAGCCGGCACAGAGCCAGCTGGGCAGGAAGGGCTCCAGAGGGCCAGGTGCTCCCTGGGGTTGGCCCTGCACTTCAGGGTCTTCCGGCCTTGACGGGAAGGGGGAACAGCAAATGGAGCTTGGAGCTGGCTTTAAACAGGGCTACAACACAGTGTTAAGCTCATTCCCTGGAACAACATTTTTTGGGGTGACTGACATGTGATTGAAAAGAACAGCTCAAGTACAGTGAGGAAATAAGGTCCAAATTTAGGGCAATATGAGAGAGCGGAGGTGGTTTGTGGGGGCGTCTGATTTACATTTCGGTATTAAAGTGTGTCAGATGCGCCTGGAGCAATCTGGAGATGAACTGGGAGATAATTTAGCAGGGATCAAAATGCAAGCTTAAGTCGATTAGCTGGATCAGAAGTCCTCACCAGCAAAGCCTCGGTCTGTGAAACGCATGCTCCTCTCTGACCACTGACTCTCCGCACAGAGGAGAAAAGGGCTCTTTTCGTTCTTAGCCACCTTACAAAAATGAGTCCTGGGAACAATGACAAACAGTCCCAGATTCTCATTTCGGTGTCTGTTTTTAAGTTGTTTTTACCTCATTTAGAAGGGCCAGAAGAAGATCTGAAGGCAGGGAGGCACACCTGGAGAGATGATTTAAACCATGCCACACCTGTGCCCTGTCTGGGAGGGGTGGGAGGTGTTCCCAGTTACATAAGACTCCCGGCATGGCAGTTACGAGTTAGGCTGGAGACCCCTTTGGGGAAAGCCGGCTCTCAGCCTGAGATTCCCTGCCGGGGGCTCTCTTCTTGCTTCAGCTTGGCTAGGACGGCGCTGCTCAGGGGCAGGCAGGGAGAGGAGGTCTGTCTAGACCTTGGGGCCTGGAAGGCATGGGTTGAATACCACGGACAGCATCGTAAGGACCAATCTTTACACACAGCTTGTCCAGAGCTCTGGAACTGAAACTCTGTCATCTACATGAAAACATAGTGATCCCAAAGGGAGGAGAAAGCAGAGAACTGCAGGGTTCTGGAGAGAGATGCTCTAGGGGAGGCTGCCCACACTTAAACCTCGGGTGGGGGCATAGAAAAGATAGGGCAAGCATTTTTTTGATCAAAAGTAGCCAGTGGTGAAAAACTCTCATGCAGCACTGGTTCGGGATGCCCTAGCTAGCCATCAAGGTAACGCAGTGCCGAGACAGCCCTGAGAACTAGCATTGCGGTTTTGTTCTGGTGAGCTGGAGCCTGCCCCGGTGGTGGGGGATGCTTTGGAAGGGCCTCTAAGCTTTGGAGCAGTTCTTCCAAGCAGCTTCTGCGGGTAACTGCATCAAGTGTGAATTTTGCACCTGGTCCCAGAGGCCCAGGACCAGCAGGCGATCGACAACTCAGTTCCTTTCACAATTTTAACCTCGCTTGGGGAAGATCCAGGGAGAGCCACCTGCTTCTGTAGAAGCACATGGTGACAGACACTGCCCTACATGGGGCCGTTCCACCCAAACAGACACTGACTTCAACTTGGATTCAAATTTGACATTTCCTAGCTGGAAAGAGATGGAAATTAAGCATGAAAATGTGTTTGCAGGGCTGGTGATCTTAACAGATTGCCATAAAATTTATTTCCCCATCCTGCATTTTGTTAACTAATGCCAAGGGATTAAAAGTCTCACTGTTTTTCTCCTTTGAATTCTAAGGACAAGAGAACGCGAGGTGTATTACTGCTTTTTCAGAAAGCAATATTGAATAAAGGACTCACAGTTGATTGCATTGGAGGTTCGGGAGAGCAGCATGATTGAGATGAAAAGAAAACCTGGTTGTTTTTTGTGGTGAATTTGCCAGCATTTACAGGGCACACATCTGTGCATTTGCTTTTGACCTGCTAGCATCCTTCGCAGGGTGTTTTCGAGGGGGAGGGCACCCCCAATTGGCTTGAACTCCTGTTCTCTGGCGGCTGGCACAGCTGCAGTATTGCAGGCCCCACACTTGGGGTTTCTTGCCGATTTATGTGAGTACCGAGAAGGTTTTGGGGCTGCACACACATAGGTTTGTATTCTATTTGGTGGGCAGCTTTATAAAACACTGTATTAAAGAGCATGCAGGTAGAGTATCTATCAGTTGTATTTTATTGACTGACAGAATCTTTCCCAGACTGTGAAGTTCCTGGCAGGGACAATTCTGTGTCACTCCAAGGCCCCCAGGCTGCCCCGAGTTTAGATCCCGTTCCTCAGTGAGGTAGTGGATTTCCTAGAGTGGGCTCCTCTGTGCTCCTGGCCCCTCTTCTCTGAACCCTGAGATTTGTGTCTGGGGTTCACTGGCAGAAAACAAAGCCTAGTTTTTGGATTTTTGTTCCTGGGTTGATACTACCAAAATTCTTTGAAGTGGGAAATGGGTGCATGGGTCTAGGCTCGCAACAGCTACTCTCATGGTAGTGACAGAAAATGAGAAAACGAGGGAAGACTCAGCAGAAAGAACCCCTGACATTTGGGGAAATGCTGGGGCAATCCAAGCGGGGCAGGAGGGCCGCGGAATTCGAGTCTCCTGGGTTTCTGTGTGGCCCCCGCTGAGCTGAGAGCAGCTCTCTTCAGGTGAGTGTGGGATTCACATGACAGGACCTGGGGCCGCGGAGGCAGAGCCTGTGAACATCTTGGAAATCGGTTTGTGGAACCGAAATAGAAAGCAGCATGGCCAAGGCTGGAGGAGAATAAGAAAGAAGCAAAGCAGACCTTCAGTGAGGGCCCCCAGGGGCCCCAGCCAGCCAGGCTGTAAATTCCACAATGCTCTAAAACATATCCAGCATCCAAGAGGAAGTAGCACATGTAAATATCTTAATTAACAGTTAAACGAATCATCAATGGTAACTATCATATTAATAACTAAAATGAATAT